TGCTACTAGACCAGCATGCGATCCTGGATGCCATCAGGACCGAAGTGACGGTCGAATCGCTCTCGGGCAACTCGGCGCGGGTCAAGGCAACCATGTGAGCGGCGGCCTCAAAAAAAGAGCGAGCATTGCACAGTCGTGCACAGGTCGCTTACAACGCGACCATCAGTGACCTCGCACCCAGGGTGCCGACGCTACTCGGCGGGAGCCTTGGCGAGCCGGCGTCATTTTTTTCCGAGGGGGCGACCATCTGAGCAGGTCTGGAAGCAGCGAGTCGCATCACGCTGGACAAATCCAGCAGCAAAAAGGTCTACGGCTGCGACCTTTGCAGGTCGGCCCTCCGAGTCAAGACGTCCGAAGCCATGAGCGTAATTTAAGTGAAGACGTCCTGTCAGGAGACATCAAGCCCTGCAAGCCATAGCGATGCCATGGACCGAAAGCGACGAGGAAGAAGAAGCATCACTGTCCCGGGCCAAGCTTTCATGCATCTTTCTGTCTGTGCCTGCTCTCGTGCTAACCAGGTCGTCCGGTTTTTATACCAGCTGCGAGGAGGACGACTGAGATGCTTCAAACCCGCAGCAGTGCGTGCGCGGGAGCAAAACACGTAAAGAGCCCAGGGTTCTAAGGAGAACTCCATAGCCCACAAGGCTGATATTTAGGTAGACCGTCTATATAAGGGGTATATAAGGGGTATATAAGGGTTATATAGGGTATTTGGCTTAGGGGTCCCTTCTGGGGGTCCCTCCTATTGTCCCTTAGACCCCAACCCCCTGTAACCTTTGATTATCCTAAACCGTAGTCTTCAAACCGCCAAGGGTAGGTAAAATCTTGGCCCAACACCTCTAGAAGTCCATTAATGTAGTGGCTTTAATAATTAGAACAGGGTGTTGGGGGCCATTCTACTATAGCTCTAACAAGGAACCCCCAAAGAAATATAGGTAATTATGTGGGCCCCTAGGTCCAGGTAAACCCTTAACTCCCTAAACCCTAAACCCTAAACCCTAAACCCTAAACCCTAAACCCCTAAAGCCTAAACCCTAAACCCTAAACTCCTAAAGCCTAAAGCCTAAACCCTAAACCCCTAAACCCTGAAACCCTAAACCCTAAGCCCTATAAACCCTAAACCCTAATGCCCTAAACCGGCTGACGGGTCTTCGTCGGCAGCGTTTCGGTTCCTGAGTGCTCCTCGCTGCCTCAGCGGCTCCCTTAGCCAAGGCAGATACGAGGCTCGCAGGTTCTACGTTTGGGGCTTCTTCAGGGCTTAGGGTGTAGGGGCGGGTTTAAGGTTTAGGTTTGGGGTTTAGGGTTCAGGGTTTAGGGTTTAGGGTAGGGTTTAGGGTTTAGGGTTTAGGGTTCAGGGTGTAGGGTTTAGGGTTCAGGGTTTAGGGTTTAGGGTTCTGGTAGGGTTTCGGGTCGTCGGTTTTGCTGTGTGCAAAGCCGTACCGAAAGGGCCCCTGACCTGGAATATTCTTGGAGCCTTCAGAGCAGCACAGAGATTTCTGACTTTCGCCACCTGAACCCGAAACCCCTAAACCCTACGCCCCTGAACCCTAAACCCCTAAATCCCTAACCCCTTACCCTAAATCCTAAGCCCTAGACCCAGGGTTCAGGGCTTACATACGGGGCTTCGGGCTTTCAGCTTTGAGGGGGCTTGGACTTCTGGGTGAAAAGGTTGTTTTCGGTACATGTCTGTGCATGGAACCGTAGGGCCTTTAATTAGGGTTCGTGATAGGGTTCCTCAAAGGGTTTAGGATTTAGGGCTGCGTGGAATCACAGGGCCCGTAGCGATCGTTACAGGGTTCTTGCAGGTAGCCGATGAACCTTTCGTTTCGAGTCCTGGCGTTGCTTCTCACAGTCTGGGTGGACGCAGCCTGGCCCTTCCAGAAGTTGAGTTGGCTTAGGCATAGGTTGGGCTTTAGGGCTTGCGGTTAGCGAGTTGACTTACCCAGACCTTCCAATATCCCTTAACTATGGAAAGTTCCTATTGCTGTTCTTGCTATTATTTTTCATGTTGAATCTTTTCAGTGCTAGTCATTTTTAGTAGTGTCAATTTATGAACGAATGTGAATATACCTTAACTCATATCGATATCAGATCCTACTTATCAGGTAAAGTACATTCCTTAATTCAAAGACGTTGGAAGGTCTGGGTAGGTATAGGTTTGGGTTTATCGAGCTTGTGGGGCTCGTACGGCTTACTTCTGGTTTTTGCATCTGGGGCACTTGGGCCAGCAGTTTTTTGTGTGGGGCGTCGGCCTGCCTTGTAGGATTTATCTTTAGATTTCGGTTTAGGGTTTAGGGTGTGGGGTTTACGTTCAGGGTTCAGGGCTTTGGGGTTGGGTACCCGCTCAGTTTACGACGGACCCATGTAGCGATGCTTCTGGAACTCAACAGAGTTTAGAGTTTAAGGCACCCTAAACCCTAAACCCTAAACCCTGAAGCCTAAACCCTAAACCCTAAACCCTACAGGGTTTAGAGTTTGAGGTGTAGGGGTTCGAGAACTTTGGGGTCTTTAAAGGGTTCCTGGCTTTCGGAGTGCAGGGTGTAATGTAGGGGCCTCAATAATTTTTAGGGTTTAGGGTTTAGGGTTTACCTATACCATGTTGGGGGTTCCTTAGTGTAATTATCTTAGATAGCCAATGGGAGAACTTTAAACTTTTTGTCCCTATATATTAGATCTATCTTGAAAAGTTTGAGCTTTTTTGGCCCGGTTCTTGAAGAAGAGAGTTATAGTAGAATATAGCCCAAACCCTTATTCTAGCTATTCAGGCCCCTACATTAGGGTTTTGGGTTTTGGGCTTTCAGACTTTGGGGTTCTGAAGTGTTCCTGGCTTTCAGGGTTGAGGCTTTGGGGTTCAAGTTCCCTAAACCCTAAACCCTAAACCCTAAACCCTAAACCCTACACCTTTAGGGTTCAAGGCACTACGCTAGTTTACTCAGTCCCCCTATACCCTGAAACCCGACATCCCGAGCCCTGAACACAAAGCACGCAGGCTCGAAGGAAGACCCCCCTAAACCCTAAACCCTAAACCCCTAAACCCCTAAACCCTAAACCCTAAACCCCTAACTCTAAACCCCTAAACCCTATACCCTAAACCCTAAGCCCTAAACCCCT